TAACTTGGGAAATAAAGGAATTCAGTTGTGATGCAGAGAATAAAATCACTTACTTGGTAAACAACCAAATCTCTTTGGAAATGGACTCAAAAATGGTCATGCCAGCATAGGTAAGGTGTTTGCAGAAGCCCTACTGACGTGAGGTGCTTCTGCCTGACATAGACCCTTAGTTGCATGTTATCTACTGCATTGAGATGACAAATGTAGCTAATGAGGAAATTGTTGCAATATAGTTTTGTTTTATAGTGTAGAGGATAACACCTCAGAATGGGGGAGAAACCCATTTCATTTTACTGTTTTAGTGTTCTTTTGTGTTTCAGAATACAAAATACCAGATGTTTATCAGTTTGTTTCCCAAAAGAGTGATAGGTTTAACGAAGGCTTCTGGTATTTTTCTCATTTAAAGATGGAGAATGCATCTGTTTTTTTGTCTGCTGCTCTCTTTCCCAAGCTGTATATTAAATCATCTAGAAACTTCAGGATCATTAATTCAGTTACTAGAAAGAGAATTGAATGGTACAAACTTTTATTTCAGAATGCCATATATATCTTTTTTTTCTTTAGAACCTACTTATTTTTCTTTTTAAGGCCTGACAAAATGATGAGCCCTAATGAATTTATAACACTTTTGCCCCATAAAGTCTGCAGAACCTTTAGGAAAAGAGAGAGATACTGGAACCCCGTGACTACTGTGGAAGCTAGTTTCAGCAGTGCTATTCACCTCCAAAATACTGGCATTTTGGTCTTCATCTTAAAACCCTTTTAGAAGCATGTCTGAAATCCTGGCAATAATTCCTGTTATTTGGAGTGCAAGAGACCCTGCATTCTTTCCTGTGCTACTCCTTTAATAGCCTCTGTCCCTTGTGGTGGTTTTCCCCTCTTCTAATTACTACCTGATGCTAAGTTGGCTTTGGTGTCTTTTATATCTGCTGCCACTGCCCAAAGGTCTGGCAGGTGCCTTTGCTTCCTTAGCAGCGGCTCAGAAAGGAAGAACCACTGCCTTCTGGATAGCTTTGCAGTGATTTCACCCTCATTAGTCCCACAATGGAAACAACTGCTTCCGTGACATGAAAATTTTCTTTTGACCCCAGTTTTAATATTTCTGAAATGTGCCTGTCAAAGTTGGTAGGTTTTGGGATAGGGTTTCAGCGTTCTTTTTTTTGAAGTTAGTTTGGGTTTTTTATGTGTAATTTAGGGTGGGTAGAGGGAAACCTCACTATTTAGAGCGGCCCAGTAGCTAATATCAGTGTCAGGAGAATGAAAAATAAATTATGGTTTATTTGGATTGCTAAATATTCCCAGGTCTGTTATGTGACCGTAGAAACTTAAAATATTTATTTCATCTTTGCTTTCTGTGGAAAGAGAAAGGCAACTTAATTGAGACATTCTTTACATTTCCTTTTTGTGGTATTTGAGGTGATGGTTTCTCCCCCAGCCTTTCTTACTGGATAGGAAGCAAGAGAGCTTGAGAGAAATATGGATGGGAAATACACGTGGCACCTGCAATAATACCATTACAAAAACAAGATCATAAGTCAGACAGCTCTGAAAGTGAAGGTCCCTTCCCCAAATGAACTTTGTCTCCGTGTGAAATACACAGTGCAGTAAATATCATGTGTGTTTTAGGTGTATTGAACATGACATTTCTACCAGCTTATCTTAAGGTATCCAGCTCTGTAATAGAATTAACTTTCTGAGTACATAGCCAGGAAATCCTGCAAAGGAGGGAACCTGAGGTCAGTTTGGCAAGCTCAACGCTCATCAGTTCAACTTTTGGAGAAGACTCCTCCCTGTCCCCTCTTATAAAACTTTTGTTTTGTTTGGTTTTTTTCCCTTGTGTAACTTGGAATCAGACAACATATCCCTCTTCTAGAATGGCTGTGGAAGTATTTAGGGTGGCTTTTGGGGAGTGTGTGTGGGGGTGAGAAGGTGGTAAGATACCATTATTTCCCCAATTGGGAATTCGCCTACCGTAATTGCCCCCCCCCCCATCCCATCCCATCCCATCCCATCTCGAATGTGTATGGTGAGGCTTTTGGTAAGAAGTAGTTTCTCCTGGGAAATTAATGAGCAGATCAGTTTGGGGACTTTTCCTCTTTTTTTCTGAAAATGTACAACAGATGGCTTGTGAGTGGTCACTGTATTCAACCCTTGCCTTGCAAGATGAAGCTCAGTGGGTTAGCTTGAGGACTGTGGTTTTGTTTTATTGGGGGGGTTTTTCAGCATTTTAGAAATTCCTTGTAAAGAAATAATATTGGAGTAAAGCTGCTTAAACCAATCTATTTGAAGGCTTTCTAAGATGAATGCTTAAAAAAGTCTAGTCACATGCTCAGCATATGAGGCCTTACTATGTGGTTAATTAACTGGAGCCAGAAATTTGGTCAGTCATATGACAGATGTACTACCTCAGTAGTTCAGCAGTGCTTTCTTCTGTTATACATTTATCTTGAATATGTTGAACTATCGTGAGATGAAAATTGAGTTTCCTTTGCATGTTTGAACACAGAGTACAGGCATCCCAGTATTTCCAAAGGTGTGTTGATCTCTCAGAATGGGATGAAGTACTTAACTAACGATAGCATGCTTCAGGATGCTTCAAAACTACCACTAAGATAGATGGTACATGTTTTATGAAAGCACCTCTGTCTCTCTAGTCCTTTCAATGGACCTACATGTTCACTGTGTTTCAGTGGAGTTAAATTATGTTCCTATTTTCCTCATTAGTATAGCTGTATGTGATTGCAGATGTGTGACTCAAGATGTGTTTGCTAAACAATGCTGAGCTTCTGGAATAATTTTTCCAACCTGTAGTAAAGAATGTAATGTTTTATTTGCATTTTATATTCTGTTTGACTGAAGCACTGTAATAGTTAGCTTAATGCAGCAGGTAGAGACAAAGCTGTCTGTCTTGAAGTTCATAGTCTAGATGATGAGTGACAGAACTTCCAGGGGATTTATTTACCTTGGTTGTCAGCAGTGATTTGTGCAGCTCATATACTTGTGGTAAAACTAAAAGAAGATTGGAAAGTAAAAAGAACTTGTCATGTTTTTGAAGTTACTAAAACTGACATTAACATGTCTAAAGAATTTCAGTCTTTGGAAATGTTGAACATGAAAAATGTTTCATGTTTGTGACTAAAATGGTTTGAGTTTTTTTATCTTCAAGAAATAGGGTAGAGTTTAGCCCCTCAACAGTATTGAGTGAACTATTCCAGGAAATAAATAGTGCAGGTTGTTATTGTTAATGACATTTAGGGGTGGTAGAAGTGATTTTCCAGTTACTTAGGTGCACGTGAATGTATTAAAGCCATGTATTGATGTATTAAAAGTCTGAAGGGTGTCTTACAACCTACATAGAAGCTGCAAACTTGGGTTTTGCAATCCAAAAGCTTTTCAAGATACCTGCCTGGGTGCGCTGTGGATATAGGAGGTAGACACACTCAAACTGTAGGTGTGGCACCACTCTCTTTGTTGTAACCACCTAGATTTTTAAATACTAGATAATCTTCACCAATAGTACCCCTTTAAAACAACACGTGGACTCTGTCCTTTACTGCTTGGTATAATTGTAGGCTTTGTCTACAACTTTATAAACTTAAGATGGTATATGAGTGTTGCTATTCTCTTCCCCTCCCCGCATTTAGATTGAACAGTTACTACTTATGTATGGGTTTTTGTTTGTGATTTTTTTTTTTTTTAAAATTTAATATACCGTTTATTTTCTAACAGTTCTTCTGTTGGAAGTGCACTGCCACGGAGGCGCTGCTGTGCATATATTACAATTGGAATGATATGCATCTTCATTGGAGTTGGATTAACTGTGAGTGATGTACTATGATATACTTGCAACTGCGTGCAGGGGTGTGTACAGACAAAGGAGTTTCCCTGGTCGACCAGCTTTTCTTTCCCCAGTGTTTGAGTTAAATCTCCTAAGTTTGTGTGGTTTTTATCATCTCTGTTAAAACCATGGACTTCAATCATCTGAGTTAACCAGAAAAATGACATATTCCTTAAAAAAAAAAAAAGTTCTGAAACTTTGAGAGTCTCTTCTTCCTGATGTTGAATTTGACTCTTCATCTCTCTAAAAACCTGAGGTTTATGAAGAATGGTGTTACTTTATTGTAGAAATACTGGAACGTCTTGCTCTTGCCAGGGGTCTCAAAACTTCCAGGTTTCAGAAATACATATTGCTATATAGCCAGGAATGTAAGTTCCACTGCAGTGGAGGGGAATGGGATTCCACAAGTTAGAAACACGTATATGCCTTTATAATTTGTACAACCTATAAGGAGTAAAACCAGCTAATAAGCTATTTACAAATTAAAAGGCTCACATTGTTGTTACTCTGTTACTCAGAAAACTGTCTGGCTTGCTTGGCTCTGAAGTATCTGGTACTGGTTAGCAGAGCCAATTTTCTACCTGGCAGTCCCAGAAAAGTACGTATGAGGAAATACCTGCAGTTGAAATCCTATGTGGGATTCTCATTATACCTCTAACTTGTGTTATAACCTGAATAATTTTTTGTGTGTGAGTTTAAATGAGTTATGAAGGATTTTCCAGTTTCCCTAATAAAAACAGTGACAGTTAGAAATAAAACCAGTGAGAGACAGATTCTTTTTTTTTTTAAACAACCTTACTGAGTTTGAAAATTATGAAAATGTTTCTCCATGAGGTGTGCACAGAGGCTTGTATAGCCTCAATCTTTGGAATATTTTGGGACCCAGCTGGGTTAAAACCCTGAGCAACTTGGTCTGGCCTTCGAGCTGACCCTACTTTGATCGAGAAGTTGGCACTAAAGACCACCTGATGTCCCATCAAGCTCAATTATCCTATGATTGTGTAAAACTAAGCTAATAAAATACCTGATTTCTCCTTATCAGAGTTAAAAAGGCGCCAAAATGCTTCTCCCTAAGACAATTTGCTCTTCCCTGAAGAGCAGATAGTGCTCTATGTTTGACGCTTTTTTGTTTTCTTTTTTTTTTAGGTTGGTACACAAGATTTCGCCAGGCGATTTCACGCAACATACGTTTCTTGGGCTATTGCTTATCTCTTAGGTTTAATCTGCCTCATTCGGGCCTGCTACTGGGGAGCCATTAAAGTCAGTTATCCAGAGCACAGTTTTGCGTAGATAAATTGTTAGATTATAGCGGGTGAAGATCTAGTAATTCTGGATATTACATCTTGGACACTTTTAAAACCTTTCCTGTAAGGATTCCATTCTGTTCAAAGTAGTTTAAGACTGGGGGTCTCTAAGAACAAATGTTCATTGCACTACATAATATGCAAATAGTTTGTTTTGCTGCTAGATTCCCTAGCTCTGAATATTAAAGCTGTGTTTACATGTTCATAACTCTGTCTTTATAGGTGTTGAATTTTATTTCAACAGACAGTATTAAGTTTTACATTTCCTTTCTTATGTTAAAATCCGTCTGCCATTTTTCTAGATGATCAGTAAGAATTCAAAAGCAGGAGTGTTTATAAGTGTTTCTACAGTAGCTTCACATTTGTACTTAACATTTTAACTGAAATTAAAGTGGCTTGCTTTAAAACCTAAGCAATAAGCATTTTGCTTGAACTGCTTACTGTATCTTTTGCCTGAGATCATAGTGACCTTATTCAGGAAGTGAAAGTTATGAGTGTATTTTAAAAGACTGACACTGTTGCTAGAGAGACATTTGTAAACACTGTATGCTTTGAGATTTTTCAGGTAGAGAGATGCTATTTTGGTAGTCCAATTAAATTTCCATTGATCTAGGATTGGATTGCAGTTAGGATAAATACTTTCTTCTCAAGGATCCTGGGACTTAGGTGTTTGGTTTTGGTGTTTTTTAACTGGCAAATCCTAAAAGCCATGCTCGGATTATGGAACTTAACTCTGGTTATTCATACAAGTTCCTTTACAGGGTCTAAGGGAAGCATTTCATATGACTTGTTTCGTAATACTTCAGTGTCACATAGGTGACAATAAGATGGTGATGGGTTGCCTCTTACTTTCCTCTGATCGTGTCACACTTTCCCTCTTTGGGAGAGTTGTGAACTGGTCACTGCAAAGGGAGACACTGTAAATTCACATTAACTGCTGTAATAAGAAAATGAGTAAACTATTACTTGGACAATTCCATCAAAGTACATCTAGTCAATTTAGCAATGACTTGCTAAGAGAATACGGAAACAGAAAGCTTTTTCTAATGATGTATTCACAAAGGATTGAGGGACCAGTTCTTGCACTGCCCATCTTTATAGTTTTAAACAAGTTTTTGCTAAATTTGGAAGGAATGTCCTGAGTGATTTAGATGACTGTAGTAATTTAGAAAATGGGGTCAGATGGGTAAATTAATGTGGATGTTTCAGGGATACATGTAATTTAAATATCTATGTTCCTGCTAGGACAAAATGATATTCAGATAAGGATTTTGGAGCACAATAAATGTAAATGATCAAACTGTAAATGATCTGTCTTTGTATGATGCTAAATGTATAAAAGCAGTAGCTCAGGATTACAATGTACCTTTTACAAATAAACTAATAAAGAAATAAAGATTATTATTCAAACTTAATATATTTTGTTATTTATATAGAAATAAAAATTCACAAGTGGAAGAATTTCCTAGTATGATACAGGTACAACATAGGTACTGTGCAGCAGAGGTGGGCTCTGCATTTTTGCCAAATGGCAGCCTCAGGAATATAAGAGAGGAAGAACAAATTGCTGTTTTCTTGATGTTTTGGGAAGATTGAGGAAGTAAAAAGGGATGAGACCACTGTTGGGATTATGTTGTCTTCAGTCAATGGCTTATTGAGGGAATATGGTAAGAAACTCTCTTCCTTTCCTAATGCTATTTACATCCCTTCACTGTAGGGATTTGCTGTGCTCATTTCCATCTTAAACCTTTGAATACTCTTTCCAGTTGTCTTGTATTTCAAAATACTACCTGCCCTCCACATCCTAAAATAAAGTAGGCTGGGGCTGTACAGAAAGTCATCCACTGCTTTTGTAGCTTAAAGTGGCAGTGGGGCAGAGGCTGGGTATAATGTGGTATCAGTGAATCAAAGGAATCTGTACTTTTCCCCCCTGTGTTAAGCTGTACTTTATTTCCTATCTTGTGTTTCTCCTTTTTCTTCTCAACCTTTCTGAGCAGAAGGGAAGCTACATGGACAAAGTAATTAATTTTTGTCTGGATCAAGATAATAGCATGATATTTGCTACTGCTTCCTTTTGCAAAGTGAAACATTGTCATTATAAAATATGAAATGTATTGTGTCATTACATTTGAACCACTTCTGGGTATAAGAATCATGATATTTTAACCATGTAAGAAAATTAATGATAGAATCTGAAGAACCTCTACAAGGGACTGTAATAAATCTGGCTATTTGTGGAGCAGGCTTGTTTGCAGACAGTCATGGTGTTCTGTGTTGAACTACATCTCAATCCATTAAACTTCTCTAAACATTAAGTTAAAAAAAAAATAAATCCTGTCCTGTGCATATTGACCACTAGAAGAACTCTCAGCTTTCATAATCACTCATTTCTGTTGTTGACTTTTAATAGTCTTTTCCCCAATGTATTATTTTTGTGCTAGATGGGGGAAGGAGCTGTCCGAATTCACAATGAAGGGCTTCTGTGCTTTCAGGTTTTTTATCTTCCCCCTTCCATACTCTCCTTCTACTCCTTCCCACCAAAGGGTTTTTATATCAGCTGAGTGGTATTGACTAGGAAATGCTTCAGACATTAAACTCTGTTTTATTTTTTAATTATGAACCCACTGCTGAATGAGTGTTTTACTAGTTTGTACTCCTCATATATGTTGATATGTTGCTGTCTTTTAAAAATAAATACTAGGGCCTAGAGTTTCTGGAAATGACATTATCAGGGGATATTTGTCAGGAGTAGCATGTTGAAAGAACCTGGAAGTTTCGAATCGACCTGGTAAGAAATCCATCGTGAAGCGTTTACAGAAGATGCAGAGGCAACCATGGAGCCATTAGTAGTTACTGCTGAGAAATGGACGATGAACAATATTTGCTTTTTCCTCATCTTCCAAACAGCGTATGCCTCTACAAACAGAGAGAATGCTAAGGCCGCACCTTAACATCAAGTGCTAGAAAACTCCTGTAACTAACTAAAGGACTCAAATAATAAATAGGAGATAGCAGCAAAGATGATTTGTCATGTTAGATCAATCTAACTGCTTTTTCTGACGGGGCAAAAATTCTGCACTGAATGCAATATGCCCTCTAAAAATATCTGTGAAGTGTTCTTCCAAGCAAGCTTGAGAAATACATCAGTAAAATTATTCAAAGATACTGATTATCAAACTGGGAGGATGTGGCAAATACATACCAGCTATTTGGAAATACTTAATATTTGTGTAAAGTTATTGTGCTGTTTACTTCATTTGTTTCACTCCTACCTGATAGAAACTGAGAGCAAGCTGAATGACTGGATTAAGTTAACCCATCCCGTTTTCCTACTTATTTTCCTTTTGTCTGATTCAGATAATGCCTGGGAGTGAGAAATAGATCAGTGTTGGAGAAATGAGTATCACTTAACTACTTGCAACAGAAAATTCAAATCATAACATTCATGTAATGTTCAAAAGCTGGAGTCTCATTATGTTAAATCCCCCTTTATACAAAAGATTATTTTCTTTCTAGTGGAGTTACCAACCACGTTTGTCTCAGTAGCCATATCGCATTAAATTGTCCCCATTCCTCGGCCTTCCAGTTGTGTCCATCCCTCTTTCACGGCTCGGTGGCAGAGCTGTATGCCTGGAGGAGTGTGAGTGATGGCACTGTACACCCATCGTGGGGGGGGGGAACAGGGAGAAGCCTGCTTGAAAATAACTTTAAAAGTGCCTCCTTAATTCAGATTTCTTTCAGTGATTTTATTGGTACAGTCGATGTGCAGCAGATTGCATGAAGGTGAAGGAACAAAAGGCTGGAGGTCATGAAGGAGAAGGGAGAGAGGAATTTAATCCGATTTAAGTTATTTGCAAGATTTTGTTATGGTTATTTGAGCCAACAAGAAAAGAATATCTAGGCTCAGTTTCCTACAGCTTTAAACACAAAAGAGCTTTTATTTTAGAACAATAAAGCTACTTGTTAGCCTGATTAGCTAGCACCTCATCATGTTACACTTCACTGGAATCTGGAGAAGTCTATCGGGGAGGTATCCCGGTATCAGTTTCTCTGCTTTTATATTTGTCTGTAGGCATTCACTGTTGGCTGCTTTTGGTAAAAAAAAAGGACATTGGGCTAAACAGATTTTTGATCTGGACCTGTCTAGCAGTTTTTATGGTTCCTTTTTAACAGGTTTTTAGCAACAAGTGTGTTCAGCTAGATGTTGTGAACAGAAGTAACAGATAACAACAGAGTATGGATTGGAAATTGCTGATCCAGATGACATGTTGTGTGTCATTGTAATGACTTAGTAAAATGATGATCAAATGGGTTTAAGAACACTTATTATAAATAATGGCTAAAAGATAGAACTGGATGAGACACATGGGGTCACAGGGACAGTTGCATATTCCGGTTTTATCCAATAACAGTGTACCTTGTAATGGAGAAACAACAATTTACTTCAAAGTAAATTTAATACTAGCTTTTTTGCATTGCTTTATATCAATTTGTAATGACATAGTTATAGTCAGAGCTTACTTAAATTTAAGTGTGTTGCTTAGTGTTTAAAAAAAACAACTGGGGGAGGGACAGAGAGGCTGAGGTTAGAAAAACACCTCTGAGGGCACGCTTCCATATTTTTCTTGCAGTATTTCCTAGGGAAAATGATGTGGCTGACGGAATTTCAAGGCTGATTTGAGTTAAACTGTGTGAGAAAGAAGTTGCTAGCAGGATTTTGAGTCCAGGCCAAATGACGTACAGCACGTTACCTTCACAGAAAGATCAGACTGAATTTCTAGTATTTCCAAAGCAGCATCTTTAAACTTTCACTTTTCATGTGAAGTCTCTTACCCATGTATAATACATCTTTCTTGTCATACTTTCAATTTGTTTAAAAAATTAGCATAGTTGCTTCGATAGGAAATAGGTAGAGGATTTGATTTTTACATTATTTGCATCCAAAATTTTGCCTATGTAATATTACTGGAGTATTTTGGGTACTCTTTATGTTTATAATGTGATTATTGTATTTTTCTTTGGATATTTTTAATTTTATATCTGTAACTGATACTACTGTCTGTAGCATTTGCCAATTTCTCAAGTTAAACTTTTGAAATATTTTGAATTTTTGCCTATTTAAGGGAAACCTTTACAACACACTGAACATAATTTCTAACCATTTCAGAGAGATAAAACATAAAGCACCTTGAAGAAATGAATCTTTAATACAGGATTTAATACAGGATCGTGAACCATGTCCTGGGCTACATCACAAGCAGTGTGATCAGCAGGTCGAGGGAGGGGATTCTGCCCCTCTGCTCTGCTCTGGTGAGACGACACC